CGCGGCGAGGCAGGGCTCGGAGCTTCACATTTGATGGCGGTCTTGTCATCTAAATTCTTTGTAATGGCTGAGTAAGATTCCATGGTGTATATGTACCACAGCTTCCTTATCCATTCTTCTGCTGATGGTCATCTAGCGATTCACGAACAAGCTGGAGTTTCTAAACAAAAGTCCCCAGACCAGATGAAGTGCTGAGGGGATTTTTCTTTTTTAAAGGCTATATGTGTAACAATGCATCACTTGATCAAGTTCTCAACCAGCTGTGTGCGAGTTTCTGGATTCATGTTAAACTGTCGCATTAACCTCGAATTCACGCTTACTGCTCTTCTCCCCTAATGTGTAGTGGATGATTTTATATAGCAGCTTAAATACTGGATGATGCCTATAAAATGATTTCCAAAATAAAATACAGGATTCTTGCAGGTCATAACATCTTCAGCTTCATTCTACCTATAAGTCCTGAAAGTTTTTCTCTTGTGATAGGAAGCTTATGGACAGAATTTACCATTTATAAAACAAGTCAGCTTACTGCCTAAGGTCAATTCACTTTGCCTGACAACTTGCTGTAAAAATAAAAATATTAATATTGAAACATTCCATATTTCCTGTGGGGACAGGGAAAGCCCATCTTTCTGAGCTAATCTGAGCTGAAACGAGGCCAAGGAAGCAGTCTGTCTCAGCATCAAAAGTGCAGGAGGCACCACCTGCGTTTGCCTGCTGTGCCATTCACCCCTGTCTTCCCCGAGAGACCTGCGTGCTCAGCACACAGGCTCTGGCATCTCGGCGTGGGCTGACGTGACAACAATGTAAGCAGCAGCTCTGCCTGGTCCTGCGCACGGTCACTGGCCTGCGGCCGCTCTGGACATAGACCAGGGACAGGGGCGTAGCTGTGCGGGTGTGGTCCAGGCAGGCCTCGGGGCCCCTGGACACCCCGCTACACCCAGACCCAAGGCCCGCTGCTCACAACGAGGCGGGCCTTTGCCTTCTATCCCGTGTTGTAAACTATTACAACTGCCAAGACGGTGTCTAAAGAAAACATCTTAAATATACTGACAACATGAGAAAAACTCAAACACATGTCCTTGGACCATTGTCTTACAACAAGCCAATCTTCACACTGTATTAAGTTAAAAAGGACAATGCAGATCTGAGTGGGAATTTGCCAACTCCCAAACCCCTGCTTTTCTGTTCCAGGTGCCTTTTCACCAGAACATGGCAGTCTCTGATGGACACGGGAGGGTGAACCCTCAGGGCTGGAGGGCACACGGGTCGCAGAGGACACCGCCTCGGCACCTCCCCCACCTTGGAGCTCAGAGCCGGGGGTGACACACCACAACCCCCTCCCACCCCCCACAGAGGGCTGACACCAGAGGTGGACAGTACGCCCTGCCTGACAGCTTTCTCATCAAGGGCGATCTCAGAACTGAAAATCCTAGAAGCAGGCCTGAAGTCAGTTCTCTCACTATGGAACACTCAGACTTCTCGTAGGAGAAGATGGCTCCTCAGAGAAGCCCAGTTTCAGTGGAGCTGCGTTAGGCCGCACCCACCAGATCTCATTGACGGCGTCCAGCTGCTCCTCACGCATCCCAGGCAGAGTGTTGGTATCGGCCTGCCCACTAGGCGGCAGCTGACCGGCCGAGCTGAAGAAGGTGACCCCGTCGCCCTCGCCGTCAGACACATCCTCGTCACTCTTGAAGGCCTCGGCCACGGTGGCCACCACACGGGCCTGCTCCGCGGGCTCCCGGGCCTGCTCCCTCTGGCTCTGCACCTGGGAAGGAGAGGACCACGGCTGGTCAACGACATTCAGGACAGCTCATGTCTATCAGGAACTGAACACAATTTGACATGGAAGCCCCGACTTTGGATAAACGGCCATGCTTAGGAGACACTGCCATCTCTTAAGCGAGCAGGACTGAAGAAACGGCAGGAGGAGAATCCAGTTCCTAGATGGCCCAGTGACACTCAGGTCTTAGCGTGGACGGAAGGCAGTCCTATCAGGTTATTGACAAGGGTGGGCCGATGGAGTCAGAGACAAAAACCCGAAGTTAAAAACACACATCCATGCCTCCATCAGGCAGACTTAAGGAAAATAAGAAGGAAAAAATCCTTCAGCTTCACAGCCGCTGGGTCCACCTCAGCAGTCATCACTTGTACTAGTTCCCTGAGGAGTGCCATGCTCACAGGTTCCCAGTCTTCCATGTTCCAGGCTGGTCTGAACACTCACAGACAGGAGTGAGCAGGGCAGCCAGGGGGCTGGAGGGCCAGCCCCCCGCGGCCGTCCTCTCGGGGCACAGGCACTTGGGGTGTTCTTGGGGATAGCCCCTCGCACCAGAAGGGTGGCTCTGCCATCAGAGACGCACGGGAGAGTGCCTGCTGGGGTCCGTGCTGCCCTCCTGTTAGCACATCTCACACCCTTCTGTCTGCAAATCTCCCCCGTCTGACTCTCAACCCAGGTCCTGCCTTTCTTCCCAGACACGACCTAAGCAACCAAGTGGCAGACACGAGGTGCTGGGTGCCGGCTCCCTGCCCCGTGGTCAGAGCCCGCGCCCCCTGTCTTCCTCACGACCCCTCCCCAGGGCTGGGCCACCCCCTTTGCTGGCTGCAGGACCACATGTCATCATCCCTGCTCTGCTCCAGCGAGCCAGCTGCCTATGAGTTCACCTATCAGCCCGGGCAGCACATCCTCCCGCTTCTCTCGCCTTCAAATGGCACAATGGGAACCAGCAGACGACTCCTCCAGGGCACCTTGCGGTGCCCACTGGGGGTCAATGAAGGCTCCCTGGGAGCGGCCTCTGCTGTCCCTATAGTGTATGATCCATCTATATTATGCTTGTAACTGTATAGTGATACACTAACTCTAACTTACTGCTATGCAGGACAAACACCATTTAATGAGACACGAAGACAAACCACAAACCAGACTAACGGGACATGGCACTGATATGACCAGAGAAAGTGGGAGGATGGGGGAGGGGAGATGGTTGTGTGAACTACAGCCTCCTGTGGGGGAGATGGGAGGCTGGGTCTGGATTGATCACGGCTAAACAGGCAACAGGATGAGTCAGGAAATCAAAGCCAATGATGACAGCAGACACACTGTCAGAAACCTCCACAAGGAGAAAATATTCAGAACTGTTCTTTTACAAATACTCGGAAAGAAATCAAACATGAAACCACAGAGAAATCGTCCAAGAATTTTAAATATCAACTACTTAGGCAATGATACTAGTTATCAACACAGTGTGTCAAAAGACCACAAAATGGACCAGGTACCACTTCACATGCATCTAAAATGACCCACATTTACTTTAATTCTATGCTAACAATGCAGCTAACATGAAATGGGTGGTAACAGAAGAAAGGGATAATTCAAGTGCAGTTTCAAGGCAGAGTGTTGTACACGTGATTCACGGGATAAACAGCAGTGCACTCAGAAACCGAGGCTACACACGCAAGAAAGCTGGCACATGTGCTTTAGAGTCGCACACTCTGTCACCAGAAGCCCAAGGGCGTCATCCCGTTGTGAGACTCGGAAGAGTGAGGCAGCCCGACTTCTTCCCTGGGGCCCTGGGGCCCCGGGCCTTTAACTGGTTTCACGCACACAGCTGGCCGGAGCGCACGGCCAGGCCCATCAGCAAGCAGACCAGTTCAGATTCTTGGTTCTGTTGCCACCGCATGCCCTGCACCCTGCAGCCACGCGTCCCCAGTGGAATATGTGCTGCCCGGTTTTCACTCGCCATGACGGCGGCCTATGGTTACTTTCACGAGGCTGTCTGCTCCCTGACGATAGAAACTTCCCTGCCGCTCCCGTGCCCTGCACAGGCCAGGCGCCCCCATTCCAAAGGCAGGCTCTGGCTGAGTTCATGATGGCGTGCTAAGCCGCTGGTCCAAATATCAAGACTGATTGGCCCCATGCCATTATGGAATGATTAAAGACCAGGAAGTTTCACAAGTCTTAGACCTCTGTGTAGCAAATGTACCCGATTTTCTTCTGGGGAAAAAGTGAAAAAACAAAGAAAGAAAAACAGTGTGCTCGTGGAGGCATGCGGCAGGGAGGAGGCAGGCACATACCGGAGTCATGACGTCTAGCTGGCCTCCCTCGCACGCCGGGCTGTGCCACCTCCCTCGGGGCGGGGAGCACTCCCTGCTGGGCGGGCAGGAGCTGGCAAGTGAGGAGGCAGGACACAGGTTGAGGGAGCTCAGGGACTCAAAACGCCGAAGGCTGCCTAAGCGCGCCCCGCCCGCCCTGCTCTCAGGCTCCTCAGCCCGCTGCTCCGTGCTCTCCCTCTCTTCCTGGATCCACCTAAAAGAGACCAAAACTCGTTAGCTGCCTTTGTCAGCACAGGATCGTGTCTGGACAATACATTTGGGCTGGCATTCTGTGTCACGATGAGCAAAATCCGGGAACATCTCATTTCACATCTCGGCTAAGAGGTTTGACTTTCCCTCTTTTGACTATTCTCAAACTTGGAATAATTTAGCACTGAGTCTTACAAACTGGCCCCTGGTCATTCACGTTTGATTGGACTCCTTTACGCTAACATTCTGACGGGGCCCGAGTGGCGACTCTCTCCCTGTGAGGAGATACCTGAAGCTGACAACCTTCACCTTCCCTGCTCTCAGGGCAGAGGTGCACGTCAGTGCCTCAAGTCTTTGCCACTGTGAATCAGGAACTCTCTATATCCAACACATTGGTTCACGAACAAGCTGGAATTTCTAAACAAAAGTCCCCAGACCAGATGAAGTGCTGAGGGGATTTTTCTTTTCTTACGTTTGTATATGTACAAACGCATCACTTGATGAAATTCTCCACCAGCTGTGTGCGAGTTTCTGGATTCATGTCAATCTGCCACATTAACCTAGAATTCACGCTTACTGCTCTTATCCCCTAATGTGTAGTGGATGATTTTATATAGCAGTTTAAATACTGGATGATGCCTATAAAATTATTTCCAAAATAAAATACAGGATTCTTGCAGATCATAACATCTTCAGCTTCATTATATCTAAAAGTCTTGAAAGTTTTTCCATTCTGATAGCAAGCTGATGGACAGAATTTACCATTCATAAAAGAAGTCACCTTACTGCCTAAGGAAAATTCACTTTACCTGACAACTTGCTGTAAAAATAAAAATATTAATACGGAACCGTTCCATATTTCCTGTGGGGACAGGGAAATCCCATCTTTCTGAGCTAATCTGAGCTGAACAAGGCCAAGGAAGCAGTCTGTCTCGGCGTCAAAAGTGCAGGCGGCACCACCTGCGTTTGCTGGCTGTGCCGTTCACCCCTGCCTTCCCCCTGAGCCCCGCGTGCTCGGCACACAGGCCCAGGCATCTCGGCGTGGGCTGACGTGATGACAACAATCTGAGCAGCAGCTCTGCCTGGTCCTGCACATGGTCACCGGCCTGCGGCCGCTCTGGACATGGACCCATGACAGGGGCGCCGCTGTGTGGGTGTGGCCCAGGCAGGCCTCGGGGTCCGCGGACACCCGGCTACAACCAGACCCAAGGCCCGCTGCTCACCACGAGGCGGGCATTTGCGTTCTATCCCGTGTTGTAAACTGTTACAACTGCCAAGACGGTGTCTAAAGAAAACATCTTAAATATACTGACAACATCAGAAAAACTCAAACACATGTCCTTGGACCACTGTCTCACAAGAAGCCAATCTCCAAACTGTATTCAGTTAAAAAGGACAATGCAGATCTGAGTGGGAATTTTCCAGCCCCCAAACCCCCGCTTTTCTGTTCCAGGTGCCTTTTCACCAGAACGTGGCAGTCTCCGATGAACACGGGAGGGTAAACCCTCAGGGCTAGAGGGCACAGGAGCCGGAGAGGACACCGCCTCGGCACCTCACCCACCTTGGGGCTCAGACATGCGGGGGACACCCCACAACGCCCGCCCCCACAGAGGGCTGACAACAGAGGTGGACAGAACGCCCTGCCTGACAGCTCTTTCATCAAGGGTGGTCTGAGAACTGAAAATCCTTGAAGCAGGCCTGAAGTCAGTTTTCTCACTAGGGAACACTCAGACTTCTCCCAGGAGAAGACAGCTCCTCAGAGAAGCCCCGTTTCTGGGGAGCCGAGTTCGGGCGCACCCACCGGATCTCTTCACTGATGCTGTCCAGCTGCTCCCGAGGCATCACAGGCAGAGTGTCAGCATCGGCCTGCCCACTGGGCGGCAGCTGACCGGCCGAGCTGAAGAGGGTGACTCTGTCGCCCTCGCCGTCAGACACATCCTCTTCAATCTGGAAGTCGCGGGTCTGCTGTGTGGACTCCCAGTCCTGCTCCCTCTGGCTCTGCACCTGGGCATGAGAGGACCACAGCTGGTCAGCCACATTCAGGACAGCTCACGTCTATCAGGAACCGAACACAATTTTACATGGAAGCCCGACTTTGGATAAACGGCCATGCCTATGAGACACTGCCATCTCTTAAGCGAGCAGTACTGAAGAAATGGGCAGGAGGAGAATCCAGTTCCTAGATGGCCTGCTGACACTCAGGTCTTAGCGTGAATGGAAGGCAATCTTATGAGGTTATTCACAAGGATGCGCTGAAGGAGTCAGAGAGAAAAACACAAAATTACAAAGATACATCCATGCCTCCAGCAGGCAGGCTGAAGGAAAGTAAGAAGGAAAAAATCCTTCAGCTCCCCAGCCACTGGGTCCGCCTCAGCGGTCATCACTTGTACTAGTTCCCCGAGGAGTGCCGTCCTCACAGGTTCCCAGCCCTCTGTGTTCCAGGCTGGTGTGAACACGCACAGAGAGGAGCGAGCAGGGCAGCCAGGGGACTGGAGGGCCAGCCCCCCGTGGCTGTCCTCTCGGGACACAGGCACTCAGGCTGCTCTGGGGGATAGCCCCTCGCACCGCAAGGGCGGCTCTGCCATCAGAGACGCACAGGAGAGTGCCTGCTGGGGCCCGTGCCGCCCTCCCGCTCTCACACCCTTCCCTCTGCAAATCTCCCCACTCTGCGACTCTCAACCCAGGTCCTGCCTTCTTTCCCAGACATGACCTCAAAGCAACCGAGGGGCAGCCTCGAGGTGCTGGCTGCTGGCTACCTGGTCCTGTGGCCAGAGCCCTCGCCCCCTGTCTTCCTCACAACCCCTCCCCAGGGCTGGGCCACCCCCTTCGCTGGCTGCAGGACCACCTGCCATCATCCCTGCTCCCCTCCAGTGCACCAGCTGCCTATGGGCTCACCCCCATCAGCCCGGTCAGCACATCCTCTCGCTTTTCCCACCTTCCGATGGCTCAACAGGAACCAGCAGACTCCTCCTCCAGGGCACCCTGCAGTGCCCACTGGGGTTCTCTGAGGGCTGCCTGGGAGAGGCCTCTGCTGTCCCTGTCCCGCCTGCTCTCCATCTCTCTGCAAGCAGGCGCTGTACCCTGCTGTGCCAGGCAGCTCCCCGGGGGCTGGAGGAGCCCATGTCACCAAGCCCACTCCCCTCCTTGCCCACCCCTCCGCCCTCCAACATGTCTCTCCCTGCCTCTAGGCCCGGCCCTCCCTGGGGTTATTCCTCAGGCCCTTGCGCCCCTTTTCAAAGATAAATAACATCTGATGTCCACCACCACAGCCTTCATACTTTGTGGAATGCCTCCAGCAGGCAGGCTGAAGGAAAATAAGAAGGAAAAAATCCTTCAGCTCCGCAGCCGCTGGGTCCACCTCAGCGGTCGTCACGTGTACTAGTTCCCTGAGGAGTGTCGTCCTCACAGGTTCCCAGCCCTCTGTGTTCCAGGCTGGTGTGAACACTCACAGACAGGAGCGAGCAGGGCAGCCAGGGGACTGGAGGGCCAGCCCCCCGTGGCCGTCCTCTCGGGGCACAGGCACTCGGGCTGCTCTGGGCGATAGCCCCTCACACCACAAGGGCAGCTCTGCCATCAGAGACGCACGGGAGAGTGCCTGCTGGGCCCTGTGCCGCCCTCCCGCTCTCACACCTCACACCCTTTTCTCTGCAAATCTCCCCCCTGTCCGACTCTCAACCCAGGTCCTGCCTTCTTTCCCAGATATGACCTCAAAGCAACCGAGAGGCAGCCTCGAGGTGCTGGCTGCCGGCTCCCTGGCCCCCGTGGCCAGAGCCCTCGCCCCCTGTCTTCCTCACGACCCCTCCCCAGGGCTGGGCCACCCCCTTCGCTGGCTGCAGGACCACCTGCCATCATCCCTGCTCTGCTCCAGCGCACCAGCCCGGTCAGCACATCCTCTCACTTCTCTCACCAGCAGACTCCTCCTCCAAGGCACCCTGCAGCGCCCACTGGGGATCTCTGAGGGCTGCCTGGGAGCGGCTTCTGCTGTCCCTGTCCCGCCTGGTCTCCAGCTCTCTGCAAGCAGGCGCTGTGCCCTGCCCTGCCGGGCAGCTCCCCAGGGGCTGGAGGAGCCCATGTCACCAAGCCCACTCCCCTCCTTGCCCACTCCGCTGCCCTCCAACATGTCTCTCCCTGGCTCCAGGCCCCGCCCTCCCTGGGCTTATTCCTCAGGCCCTTGCGCCCCTTTTCAAAGATAAATAACATCTGATGTCCACCACCACAGCCTTCATACCTTGTGAAAATGAAAGTATACAAATGACGAATCCTTAACTGAAATTACACGATGACTGATCAAACTTACCTCTCTGTGTTTGGTACTTAATTCCTCTTCTAAGGAACTACACCTTTCATGTGCTTGTCATAGTTCCTCTCTCAACTGAAATAAAAGGGGCCGAATCACTGTGTGTTGATGTGTGTACATACATTAGTGCACTTCTTACTGCACCCTCACCTGATTCCATGGTTACTGTAACAGAACACCTTTAATGTCTCTCATTGACCTTAAGGTGAAGAAAACCTGCTTACTAACGGCTTTAAATTCTAAGTTTCAGAATTTATCCTAAAAGAACTGTATTACCCAGTTTTTAATTGCAAATTGATATACAGAATAAAATAAACCTTGAGACATTTATGCCAACTAATACTTTTTAACTGGGGGCTTCCCAGGTGGCTCAGCGGTAAAGAATCTGCCTGCCAATGTGAGAGGGCAGGTTCGATCCCTGGGTCGGGAAGATCCCCTGGAGTAGAAGATGGCCACCCACTCTAGTATTCTTGCCTGGGAAGCCCCATGAAGAGAGGAGCGTGGTGGTCTGTGATCCACAGGGTCGCAAAACTCGGACACGTCTGAGCATGTACACAGGCAATGCATTTTAACCATCTAAAACTCTGAGTTCTTACAGAAAAACTGTATTTACAAGAATTCAAAAAGCTCAAAAGTCAACTAGTTCCATAAACACATGCATCGTCCACCTAACCAGGCAGCAAGTGTACAAATCCAGGAAGGCCACGTGGCTGGTACCTTCTCGTCCAGGGCCTTGTGGTGCTCAAACAGCAATCTCAGTGCCCTGAGCACCTCCAACTCGCTGGTCACGCTGGCTGGGGACTGCGCCTGCTGTGTGCCCGCTATCATCCGGAGGGACGGCACGTACCGGGAAACCAGGAGCTCCAGGTGTTCCAGCAGCAGCTGCAAGGTGGGGCCAAAGGAGCACCTTCAACCTCACACTTGAATTCAGGGCCAAGAACACCTCTCAGCCTCACGCTAAGACCGAAACCATGCTAAGGCATGTCGGAATCCCGCCAGTTCAGTCTAAAGTTAGAGTGGACTTCCCCAGTGGCCCGGGAGTTAACACTCCACACTTCTGCAGGGCTCATGGGTTTTAATCCCCGTGTGGGAACTAAGATCCCACACAAACTGCAGCATGGACAAAAATGGAAGCTAAGAGAACTCTCCCCTCAAATGTACAAAAATTACATTAGCTCTCATCATCAATTTGAAGCAAGGTATGAGAACCCCGAACTGATCCACCTCGGTCTTCTCAGTGGGAAGGTGTGAAAAATGACTTGAAAACCAGACAGACTTTAAAGACAGCAACATGGAGCCCAGCGGTGACCCCCTCGGGGCACAGGTCAACACGTGAGACTCCGCCTACTGACCCTGGTGTTGCTCCTTTCTGCTTTTAGCTCCGCGATTTCTGCTTCTCTTGTAAGAAGCTGCTCCCTGCATGCCTTCAGTTGTTGACGTGTGGAGAACTCCTAGAAAACAGGTCAATGAGGAAGTAACTAAATGCAAACACAAATGTTAAAGAGAGCGAGACTCTGAAGACTGACACTGTCCAGTCTCTCCAGGCTCCACTCAAAGGATCTCCCTGCCCCTCTGGAGAAGAGGGGCTCCACTGACCCCAAGACCACACAGACCCCTACAACTCAGACTGGCCTGCAGCCTCCATCTCGACCTGGCAGGCACGCGGCAGGGGAGAACCCGGAATCCAAGCCTGTGCGGTAGGGGAGAACCCGGAATCCAAGCCTGCCTTCTCAAGACCCAGGGAAGTCTGAGAGACTTTCCTAAACATACACTTAACAACAAAGTGGATAAAGAGATTCTTAAACGACACACAGACAAGTGACCTAGGGCCCCTGGGGAGAGTGAAGAAGAAAGGTAAGGTCTTCAAGGCCACCAGGCTTTGGAGTGTTCCTCTGGGAAAGAGGCTGATGGCACCCCAAGGCCGTCTGTTAGTCTGACTCCACTGAAGTCACCCAGTCATTCAATGAACTGCTTAAAATGGTAAATTCATGTTATATGTATTTTATCACAATATGCACGTACGCAGAGCTGTCCACGTGGTGAACTTGCTCAAACCGAACCACATGGACTCCTTCATTCCTCTATTGTTCTTTGCACAAATACAAAAATCCTGGGCTACGTCTCCCCTACTACATACTAAGTATTCAGCACCTAGAGCACTGCCCAACACTTTGTAAGAGGCATGTAGTAGACATGTGAGGCTGTGAGGGTGTATGTTATACACAGGAGCATTAGGCATCCGTCATTAGAACACTGGGCGCACTGCTCTGTGCTTTGGACGATGGCAGACGTTAAGGGGCTCAGCATTTCTGCTCCAAGGACTGACTCTCTAGCTCGGCCCACACGCCCCAGAGACTCCTCCAGCCAGTGGATCCCTTGTTTGGAAGAAGAGAGACTTTAAGGGGCTTAGCCTTTCCTTTCTGCTCCAAGGACTGACTCTAGAGCTCAGTCCACGTGCCCCAGTGACTCCTCCAGCCACTGTTCCCCTTCCTGTGGGGCCCCCGCCCATCGTCCACGCAGCCTGCACAGCCTCTTACAAGGTCAACCTGCTGGGGTCGATCCTGCCCAGGAGGCCAGAACGCCCTGGCCGGCAGGGCCCACGAGCATGCGAACAAAGTAAAACACAATCCCAACTCTTCGCCGGGTGAGGGCCAACCCAACGGGCCCATCCCCCGTCTGCTCTCACCTCCGGGCACTCTGCTTCCAGGACGTGGGATGAGGCCAACTTATTTCTTGTCTTGGCCTTTTTCTTGGAGTTGCAGCATGGGAAAAGCGCCCATAGGCTGGCCCTTCTGCGACCCATCCTCGAGGATGGGGGCAGCCCCCCACTTGGGGGCACCTGCTGTTTCTGAGGCAGATCCCTAAGCGCCTGAGGTATCACCACCGATCTCTCACTATGACCACCGCGCTCACACACCGCTCTCTCACACACACCACTCTCACACTGCTCTCACACTATGACCACTGCTCTCACACTATGACCACCAGCTCCGCTGTCTCAAGAAGAAATGGCACGAAGGCTCTGCCTCCAGCACGTCTCCCGGGAGCCCGGATCATGGAAGCCACTCTGTCACAAGGGGCTCCGTGGTAACAGGGGGGCTGGGCTCCGGCCCACCATCAAGGGTGCAGAGAGTGGGGAGGGGCTGCCAAAAAGATGGCAGGTGTGTGTTGGGTACGGGAGAAGGAAGGCCGTGCCCACAGCTCAGGCCCACCGTCAAACGTCACCCTGCAAGGTCACTGGGTCACAGTCAAACCGAACAGTATAAACTGCTTCAGAAACCACTACTGCTAGGGATGAGCACGTCTTCTAAGTGGGCTTCTGCTTCCTCCACCCCCAAAACAAGCCTGCAGTGAGGCTACTGAAAGGGTACCCCTGAACTCAAGGGTGTGCCCAGAACCCACGTGGCTGAGGAGGACTCCCCGCGCTGGCTGCCCCTCACTCTCACCCTGAGCTTGGTCCTCCCTGACTGGCTCCCTCACTTGAGCTCAGCAAGCGCTTGACCAACCTCGCTCCGGGCGCTCACAATGAACCCACAGTGGGGACGGGGGTTCATTCAACCTGCTGTGAGCTCGCCCTCTTAACTTCGACCCTGGGCCGCCAGACGACTCAGCCCCATGGGGGCTGCACGGTGGAGTTTCAGGGGTGGCCCTGCCTCAAGCCGTGACAGCCAGCACCTCCCATATCCCTCGAGGGGCTTCCCCGCCCTCCACACCCAAGTCTCCCACCCCCTCTCCTGGCCCCACTCCCAGCCTCGCGGCTCTCCACGCAGCAGGGCATAGCCCACACTGCTGCTGGCTCAGCCCGGTCCGCTGCCGTCACTTGAGCACTCAGTCCCCGGGGTGCTTGGGGTCCTATATCTGCCTGTCTCAGCAATGACAGACTCTGGGGAGACAGGGTACAGTGTGTGGTCCCACCTGCAGTGCACCCTGAACACATTCTCTTTTTTTTTTGCTTTATCTACTGCAGTTCTCTGAGACGTCTTTTGAAAACCTCAACTGTGGCTTTCAAAAAGACTGTAAAATCACTGTGCTCAACTTGAAGAATAAAATCTTCATTTTCAACCTTAAAGTGATACTGGAGGGAAGATTAAAATCGGTCATTTTTCAAACTGAAAAACAAAATCCACATGTGACCCCATCACACAACAGGTCACGCAGCCCCACCCTCCTCAGCTTCTCCTCCACCACCAGCAGCCTGTCATTGCAAGGCCTGCCCTGGGCTGGCAGGCGCAGGGGAAGCGGGCACACCGGCTCCTCCGTCCCCAGGCTGCGTGGGCTGCTTGCTCCACCTTCTTCCCAAATTCAAGTGGCACTGAAAGAGCATGGGCAAGCTGGGGATTCTGATCCGAAACACAACCGTGGGTACTAAGCAAGGACCCCTGCCTCTTGTATTCCCTGTATCAAATAAAGATGATCAGTATAATTAGTGTGATGCTTACATGTGGCTTCAGATGAGAGAAGATACCCAGGGCTTCCCCACTTCCAGTTACAGACGCAAGCAGCTTGTAGGTCAGCCTACCCAGAGCTAGAAAAGCTAAATACATTTTAAAAGAGGTCCTCAGGCAGCCACAATCCAAGATCTCAAGCAAAAGGGAAGCCCAGTGAGGCAGCTGGAGACTTGAGAGGCCGCTCCTTCCCCCGGGGCATCTGAACAAAGCTGACTCTGTGAAGAAAAGTCCAGCAGAGGGGACTGGCGCTAACAGCTCTGGATGGCTCCTCGGGCTGGGAAGACAAACATATGAGCGCAGGCCTGACAAGTCAGTCCCGATGGTAGAGACCAGTCTCCCCAAGAAAAGTTAGGCACAGAAAACGTACCCAACACCCTGCCCAAACTGGCTGAGCGCTGAGTATCAATCACCTCGTGGTCTTCAGGAGGTGGACGGTGGGATTCAGNCTGAGTATCAATCACCTCGTGGTCTTCAGGAGGTGGACGGTGGGATTCAGGACCTGCCGAGAAGGAGGGGCCCTGGGAGGCACCCCAGGCTTCCAGACGGAGACGCTGGAGGGCTCCTCCCTGGGGTCGGGTGGGGGCAGCGGGGAAGGTGGGTGAAGGCTGCTGAGACTCAGCTCACAAGGACCCCCCAGCCTCAAGTCATGCAGGCCCTGAGCGAACACAGAGCTCTGTCCCCACGAAAGGTCGATGTCAGAGGAAAGCCTGGAGAAGACAGCATCACTCAGCACCTCTAGGGTTTTCCAAACGTAGTGCCCAACATGCAACCAACAAACCAAAAAAGAGTGTAACAACAAACAGGACCAAGAGAAAAAGAACTGAAACAGATCCAGAGGGATCAGATGCATATCAGCATATCAGAGGTATGCTAGATGTATCAGATGCAAATGTCAAAAAATATACTTGACCAAAGGAAAAATTTCTGAGAATCAAAACCGATGCTACAACTTTAAAATAACAGTGACTGAATTTAAGAACTCAGTCTCTGGGCTTAACATCAAATTGAACATAGCTGAAGAGAGGATCAGTGAACTGAAGGATGGATCAGTTAAAAATATATATATATATATAAGAGGGAAAAAAGTATAGAATATATTGAAAGAGCCCGTTATTAAACTTTGTTGTTAAAATCTATAAATGGGTCCCCTTATGAGGGAGAAAAGACAGAAAGGGGACTGAGAAATGCCTCCAGGGGTTGGAACTAAAGAGCCTCTTGATGAACGTGTAAGAGGAGAGTGAAAAAGCCAGCATAAAACTCAGCATTCAAAAAATGAAGATCATGGCATCCGGCTCCATCGCTTCATGGCAAATCAATGGGGAAACAATGGAAACAGTGACAGACTTTATTTTCTTGGGCTCCAAACTTACTGCAGATGGTGAAATTAAAAGACACTTGCTCCTTGGAAGGAAAGCTATGATGAATCTAGGCAGCATGTTAAAAAGCAGAGACATTACTTTGCTGACAGAGGTTCATTTAGTCAAAGCTATGTTTTTTCCAGTAGTCATGTATGGATGTGGGAATTTGCCCATGAAGAAAGCTGAATGCCAAAGAATCAATGCTTCTGGACTGTGATGTTGGAGACGACTCTTGAGAGCCCCGTGGACTGCAAGGAGATCCAACCAGTCCGTCCTAAGGCAAATCAGTCCTCAATATTCACTGGAAAGACTGATGCTGAAGCTCCAAGACTTTGGCCACCTGATGCAAAAAACTGACTCATTGGAAAAGAACCTGACGCTGGGGAAGACTTAAGGCGGGAGAAGGGGACGACAGAAGATCAGACGCTTGGATGGCATCACCGACTCGATGGACATGAGCTTGAGCAGGCTCCGGGAGCTGGTGATGGACAGAGAAGCCTGGTGTGCTGCAGTCCATGGGGTCACAACGGGTCAGACACTGAGTGACTGAACTGACTGGCAGGGATGGGGGCAAGATTGGCTCAAGAATCAGACCATTGACTCAAAAATGAAAACCACACATTGGTTTCAGCAGCTCTGCGGGTGCCTAAGGCGAGAAGAAAATGTTCCAGCGCTCAGAGGAAAAAAGGTGTGGCTTTTAGTGGCACAGCAACGCCAAGAGCTGACTTTTCAAGAACAACAAAGTCAGGAGATCATTGACGGGCGCCTGTAAANCACTACCTGTGTGTTGCGGTAATGCCAGGGTCCACGTCTGACTTTCACATGCCAGACTTCAGACTATCTCCTCTCGACCCTACTGCTCTTGCAGCCAGGCAAGCTAGAGGAATCCACTCCATTCAGCCATTCTTGGAGATTTTTCTTCCCTGTAGATTCTTTAAAGCCTTTGGAAAACAGAACTGCTGGAGGCTAATTGGCATAGGAAATCAAACCGGCCAGGAGAAGGAGGTCCCCACGTGGGTCAGGCGCGTCCAGCTGTCCCTAAACATCCGCCCTCTGCTTGACTTAGGCTGTGGGGAGTCCAGTATTGGGTAAGCGGCATAAGGCTGGGTCCAATTTACAAGGCGACTGTGGGCTGCGGACTGAGCAGGGGAGCCGCCAGCCGGGAGCCTCCGGCCCCACACTTTGTATCAGTTTTTAGAGGCCTGTGTGGTAGTAATTAAAATTCCTTTTTCTTCCATGTGTTTATCCAGTTCTTCCAACATCATTTATTGAAGACTTTCCTCATTGAATAATATTACTGCCTTTGTTGAAATTCAGTTGACCATATACATGTTCCATTTCTGGACTCTATATTGTGCTCCATGGATCTATTCATTTTCTATCCTGTGCCAGTACCATGTTGCCTCGATTGTGTGCGTATGTGTTAGCCCTGTTCCCCTCTTAGCGACCCCAGGGACCGGAGTCTGCCAGACTCCTCTGTCTGTGCATTTCCCAGGCAGGAATACCGGCGTGGGTTGCCATTTCCTCCTCTAGCAGATTTTCCAACCCAGGGTGGAACCACGTCTCCTGTTGCTCCTGCATTGGCAGGCAGATTCTTCATCACTGAGCCTCCTGGGAAGCTTGTTGCCTTGATTACTGTAGCTTTATAGTGACTGTTGAAATCAGGTAGTTTAAGTCCTCCAATTGTTCTTTTTTCCCTCCTTTGTTTGTGCTTCCATATAAGTTTTATATAAATTAGAAATATTTAATTTAAAAAGTCCTGCTGGGATTTTAATCGATATTGCATTGAAAGTGATGATTGACAAGAATTGACATTTTAACAATACTGAGTCTGCAATCAATGAGATGGTTTTAGTTTAGACCTCTCTTACTTAATCTTGACAACATTTTGTAAGCTTTCTGTGTACAGATTGTATACATCTTTTGTAAATGCATTTCCAAATGTTTTTGATGCTCCTTTCAGTGGAATGGTTGAGATTATTGGTTTTTATTTTCAATCCATGGGTCCCAGAGAGTGGGACATGACTGACTGAGCATGTTTTAGACAACTTATAATTTCAGCATGCATTTTTCCAGGTGGAGAACCTCAGCCTTATAATTGACATGTTTATTCTAGTTACATCCATTGTTGTATATGGTTTGCCACAATTTCTTCATTTTGCCTTTGTTTTTTAAAAATATTTTCACTGGGTATCAATGAGTAATGAGTCAACAGGTTTCTTTTACCACTTTAATTCTTAGCTCCATTGTTTCAGTCCGTTGTCATTCATTGGTCTTTTGAATGCAAAAATAAAATTTTTATGCACAAAATTTCCTCTCTGTTACTATGATGTGTCCAGGTGGTGTTTTCTTTATATTTATCTTTCCTTGGGGTTTTCTAAGCTTTTTGAAATTGTAAGTTGGTCTTTTGCACTACATTTGAGAAAATTACAGCCATTTTTTTCCCTCATTTTTTCAGTTATTTCTTTTCAGTCTTCAATTCCAAATATATTCCATGGTGTTGTCCCGAAGGTCACCAAGACTGTTCCCTGTTTTCTTTCAGTTGTTTTAACCTCTGCTCTTCAGATCTATCAAATCTCTCTTCAATTTCACTCATTTCTTCTGCAGTGTTCAAACTCTGTTCGTAACATTCAAGTGAATTTTTAATTTCAGAGAATGGAATTTTCTGTTCTAAAATTTCCTTTTGGTTCTTGTTTAATAGTTATCACTTCTATGCTGAGATATCCTAGCTTTTGTTCATTTTATTAATTTTCTACAGACCAAACATAATATTTTAAAGCTCCCAAAAGAGATTCTATTGTGAATTAGAGGTAAGAACCAGTAAAAATATATAAACTTTACCTGGAAGGAAGAGATATGTAATGAGAAGCATCGATAACAGAAAATGTTACAATCCCTCTGTCCATGGGATTCTCCAAACAAAAATACTGGAGTGGGTTGCCATTTCCTTCTGGAGCGGATCTTCCCAACCCAGGGATTGAACCTGAGTCTTCTGCATTGCAGGCAGATTCTTTACTGTCTGAACCACCAGGAAAGTCGACACAGAAGGTATTATAGCTTATTTACGAAGAAGTCTAAAGGGAAACCCAAAGACAATAGAGAATAGATAAACGAGCACAATAAGGGAATTTTAGTCTCTGACAGCCACCGCTATGGTAAACCCTTTCTCCTAGCCAGACTAAAATAAAACCTCACCCTAAAGTCCTACTTAGCTCAGTTCCTTTAACAGGTACATCATGTCTAACTTTAAGCAAAAAATTATATGGCATACTAAAAGACCAAAACCAAAAACACTCATTGTGTTTTAAGAGATAGAGCCAGCACCAGAATGAGACACAGATATGGTGGAGATGTTGGAATGATCACATCGGGAATTTAAAACCACTAGGAATAATATGCGAATGATTCTAATAGAAAAGTGGGCAACAAGCAAGAACAGATAAGAAATGGAAGCAGGGAGATGAGTAACAAAAAACCCCCACAATGTGACAGGAAAAAAAAGATGCTTTTCCTGTGCAGGTCAGCGGGACGTGCCGGCAGGGACGGAGCTCTGAGACCCGAATGCTGCCCGCCCCATTCGCGGAACCCGAAGTGGAGCGGGGCCCCTGGGAGCGGCG